CTCCCTGGCTCCACCTTTACAGTTGCTTCTTCTTTCAAACTACAGGGTTTACCACAAATGTCTGTGCTTTACACAGTCGTGTCCTTACTAGTGGGCATTTCGGGTATCTCTCAGCTTTGTAGGCTATTTGTTTTGTTCTCTTTTAGTTTCTTTGAGACAGGCCTTCTCTCCGTAACAAGAGCCCTGGCTTCCTGCAGACTCTCCAACTCTCAGAGATCCACCTGCTTCTGCCTCCCCGAATGCTGGGTTACAAGCGTGTGTCACCGCACCCGGCTGCTTTGTAGGTTATAAACACGGATGAATGGGGGTGTGGCTCAATGGCAGAGCACCATTGCACAAGGCATTGGTTAAAACTCAACTGCCTCTAAAAAAACAAAACCAAAACTCAAGCAAAAAACAGGGCTGCAGTGAACATCCCTCGGGGCAGCTCTGTGCCCTGCTGGCTTCTGAAGCCTTCTCTCTTAGGCATGGTGATTCTGGTCCAGGTTACATAGCGGCTGGTGAGATGGCTCAGTGGTTAAAAACACTTGAGCTCTAGACTGCTGACACTGCCCTCTGAGATGGCCTGTCTGAGGGGCACTGTGTCATCCGCTTTAGCACAGAGCGCTGAGCCCTGTGTCCCAGCAGAGGCATTCCTTGAGAATGATGGCCCCACCCCCACCCCACCCTACCCCGCTCTGGTCTTATTTATCTTCAGGGACAGGCTCCCTAGGGGCCAGAAGTCCTTCAGGTAGACTGGCCAATATTCCTTGGATCTAAGATGGCTGCCAGAGTGACCACCAGGCAACCTCTCATTTCTTTTCTCTCTCTCTCTCTTTTTTTTTTTTTTTTTTTTTTTTTGGTTTCTCCATGCATGCAACCCTGGCTGTCCTGAAACTCACTCTGTGTAAACCAGGCTAGCTATGAACTCACAGAGATCCACCTGCCGCTGCTGGGATTAGAGGGATGTGCCACCACAGCCCGGCTCTTTCCTGTCTTTCTAACTCTGTACTTGATAAATGACACACAGTGCTACAGCAGCTGACAACTGCCATGACAGCAACTGCAAAAAAGGAAGGAAGGAAGGAAGGAAGGAAGGAAGGAAGGAAGGAAGGAAG